GAATTGAGAAACTAGAGAAAGAAAAATCTGACAAATTAATATATAAATTACCTGTTCAATTATGTAATTATTCATTATTTTAAATTAATAATATTAAAACAAATTAATATTATTGATTACTATCATAATCTGTCATTTCACTATCGGGTAATTTCGTTGATGCATTGCTACATATATCATCTATTAAATCTTCTTCATCAACAAAATTATTTTGAAATCTTAATAATTCCTCGTCTGTTGCCCTTCTTTTCAATACTTTATAAAGTTTATGTATCCAAGAATTAGTATGAAAATTATAATTACCTCTACGATAAAATCCACCACATCTACATAGTTTCATTGACATATTATTATATTATATTAAATTAGAATATCTTTATTCATCATTCGTAATTTGAAACGCCTGTTCAAATCTGATATGAAACATTTTGTTAATGTCTTTAGCATTCATATTCACGTAGAAGAAACTATAAGGTGCGTCATTAACGGCTTGATGATACATATCTAATAATTGCTGTTTATCAACAATGGCGCTATTTTCTTCAATAAAACTCATTAACTCACTTGCATTTTTCAACCTAAAAATATATAATGAACTGGCATTTAAACGAATGATAGGCGCTAAAACATTATATTTTTGTGTTGAACAAATTACACTTACTGCATCGTGCCTGCCTCTTGTAAAAAGCCCGTGTAATAATTTACTATATCTAACAAATTTAGGATCGTCTGCGTGGTCATCTATAACGATTAATATTGAATGCAGTTTCTTTATCTTTTTAGATTTCATATAATTAATTATTTTCTTCTGTCTTTCAATTACATTTTCTAAATCACTTGGGTCATAATTATCAAAGTATATTTGTTCTTTTTCATCATCTACGTGCAATTCATCCCTGATGTATTTTTTAACTTCTGTAAAAGTTGGGTCATTATGAACGCTGGGTGAAAATATAAATATTCTTGCAAATGAATTTCTATAAACATTTAAAACAAGATTCTGAACTAAAACTGTTTTGCCTCCCGTCGAACTCGCAACTATAATACTTCTAAATGGTAGTTTTGGCACGTGCTCATATTTTTGAATTCATATTCAGTTATGTTTATTGGTTTTATTATTGGGACATCTGTCATAGTTGATATTAAAGAAATATAGAAAATTATATTTAAAAATTAACTTGTAATTAATATTAAATGGAACATCATTATGTTATGAGTGGCGGTGAATAACAGAATGGAACAGGTGTCCATTGCTTCAATCAATAAGCATTGAAGATAATTAGTTTTGTGTCTTGCTCGCGTGTGCAATGAAAAACCCAAGTGCTGTGCCCCACCAATATTCTATTATGCATGAAAATAATAAGATCAAATAATTATTTTTAATAATTATTTCATCTTATTATTTAATATGGATAGAAGTTATTCAGATTATATTGATATAATAGATGAAGTAGAGAATATAGAACAAGTGATAATAACTGACAACAGATGTAAGAAAGTATGCTTTTATACATTAGAATTAATAAAATTAGGAATACAATATATCAAAAATAAAAATGTAAATACTAATATAAATGGGAAAAAAGAAAAACAAAAAGAATAAAACAGATACTACAGTTTCTTCAACAGATGAAGAAAAAGAAGAAATTGTTAAAGAAACAGCACTGACCGAGTTTGAGTGTCCTATGTGTAAAAAGATGTTAGAATTAAAAAACGAACTGGAAATACAAAGGAAGGGAAATTGCAAATGTTCTTGTGTGCCATTAGGGTTTAACATAACTAAAAATGATAAGAAAATGAATATTGATAAAACTAAGGACAGTATCAATCTGGAAACAGATGCACATAATATTTCTATCAAATTTGGAAATGAGGCAACAATGTCAGATAATGGTGATAACGAAACTCAGGAAACTATGAAACAAATGATGAAAATTTAGTACTTAAAGAGTAGATTTTACATTAAATCAATTTTATAAATAAATATTTAAATAAATAATTATATAAATAAATATATATAGAAATGTCTGAAGTTGAGAATGATGCTATTGCTGAACTCTCAAAGAAAATAATGACAGTTAGTAAAAATGTTAAACTGTTGTATGAGATGATAAAAACTATTGACGAGAAACTTGATGCAAAGGCAAACGAACCAAAAAATAACAATGAAGAGAAGGAAAAGATTGATAAGATCTTTGAAAAGAAAGGGATAGGCAGACCCAGCGGTGATTATGACACGAAGCGTAAAAATATTGCGATATGTTAAATAAGGGGCAAGTCAAAAGTCCAAAAGAACAAACATTAGAATACTATAAGATTAGTAAGGAAGATGATAAATATGTGTATTTCTAAAACATTGTCTAAATCATTCTAATAAACATTATGAATTTATTAGAATTATTGAGTGGAACTGGAAGTGTAGGAACCATAGCAAAGTCGCTTGGATTTAATGATGCCCGCAAAATGGCGGTCAGGCTGGCCGAAAAGTGGCGGTCAGGCTGGCCGAAAAGTGGCGGTCAGGCTGGCCGAAAAGTGGCGGTCAGGCGGTCAGGGTGACCGAAAAGTGGCGGTCAGGCGGTCAGGGTGACCGAAAAATGGTGGGCAGGGTGCCCGTAAAAAAACGAATGAACCAGACCTTGCCCATAATATGTCTACAAAATTTGTGATAAAATTTATTGTAAAATAATTTATCATATTTTTTGGAATAATATTTTTTGAAAATTTATTTTTTATTTGTTTTTGTAAAATTTATTTTTTATTTTTTATTGTAAAATTTATTTTGTAAAATTTATTTTTTAAAATTTATTTTTTAAAATTTATTTTTTTAAAATTTTGTAAAATTTATTTTTTAAAATTTATATTTTAAAATATGGATGAACTTACTAGGAAATTACCTGCTTTAAAATGTTGATTTTTGAAAATGTGCTGTTTGAGGTGCTGTTTTAAAATGTTGCTAAAAGTGTAGGGGGGGGCTAGGATTTTTTATAGAAAAAAGATGGGCAAGGTCTGGTCTAACTGTTGATTGTGTTGAGTCTGCGGGCTTTCGCCGGTTGCTTCGAGTTCGGGCATGGCGGGTCTTTGGCCACGTTCGCAGATTAGCTGGCCAGTTGCCGTACAAGCGGCACAACCAACACCAAGTGCAAGAGGGAAACATGCCAAGCGCTGAAGCAAGGACGGTTTTGGTTGGGTCTCAACACACGCAAATCCGATGCCATCCTTTCGATTCATATCGTATACACACACCCTGCCCACCCACACACACACACACGCACGAGCGCGCACACACACACACATACACACACACTCTCTAACACACGAACACACCAACGCACTAGCACATTAAGACACGGAAACACTAGCACACCAGCACACTAACACACACACAGACACACACTAACACACACACACACCCACACACCCACCCACCCACCCACCCACCCACCCACCCTCGCAAGCACGCACGCACACACGCACGCACGCACGCACGCACGCACACACACACACACACACACGCACGCACACACACACACACACACACACACACTCATACTCACACACACACACCACGCGTACACAACACTATCAACAGAAAAACCATATCACAATTAAACACGCCGCAACAAATTCTCCACCACACACACCCCACCCGCCCACATAATACGTACAAACACAGCCAACGCACACGCACCCCTCACGCCCACTGCACGCACGCGCAGGCCAAAGCACGCACGCACCGCACCCAACGCACGCACCACGCAACGCACACACGCACCACAACGCAGACAACATACGCAGAGCACGCAACAGCAGGCACGTAACGCATAACGCTACGCAACCGCGCCACCCCCACACTGCCCCACACACACACATCACACGCACCACACACACACATCACCACCCAACGCGCACACACCACACCGCAACACACACACACACACCACCCCACACGCACCACGCACACGCCTACGCCCACGCCTAACAACAGCAACCGCGCGCCACACAGCCACACGCACACGCCCACGCACGCACGCGCGCACACGCACACCCACGCACGCACGCACGCACACACGCACACACGCAGACACATACGCAGGCACGCACGCAGGCACGCAGGCGCACGCAACCGCACACGCATACGCACACGCAAACACACGCACGTGCAAGCACCCGCGCACCCGCACCACGCAGACAAACACGCACACAGTCACACACGCGCACACGCAAACGTACGCACTGCACACACGCGCGCACGCACGTGCATGCGCCCGCGCGCTCCCACGAACGCACCCACACTTGCACACCCGCGCACACGCGCACGCGCATCGGTAGCCTCACATGCACACATACACGCACACACACACACACCAACACACACACACACACACACCAACACACACACACACCAACCACAACAACAACAACAACAACAACAACAACAACAACAACAACAACAACAACAACAACAACAACAACAACAACAACAACAACAACAACACACCAACAACAACAACAACAACAACAACAACAACAACAACAACAACAACAACAACAACAAGCAACAACAACAAACCAACAACAACAACAACAACAACAACAACAACAACAACAACAACAACAACAAGAACCACAACCACAACCACAACCACAACCACAACCACAACCACAACCACAACCACAACCACAACCACAACCACAACCACAACCACAACCACAACCACAACCACAACCACACCCACACCCACACACACACACACACACAAAAAAAGCACACATACACACAAGCAGCCACACGCAAACAAGCACACACACACACACACACGCAGAAACATACACAAACAAACAAATCTAAACAATCAAACCAGCAAGCGAGCAACTACCCCCTGCCCCCTGCCCCCCTGCCCCCCTGCCCCCCCCCCCCCTGTGTGTGCGCAGGCACACACACACCAGCTTTAGCTTCAGAACGCGGGAGCCTCCAATTCTCCGGCACTCAGCTCGGTCAGGCCACCGGCGCAGAGCTGGCAGAAGGCTTAAGCCTGGCAGGGCGGCCGCTTCAGCCGCCGAACTTCGTGAACACGGGCCATTGGAATGAACAAGCTGGGGGGGTCCAATTGTTTTCCCTAGGCGGGCATTGCAAGGTGTCATGATTCGCCTGTAAAGCCTTAGGGCTCCCTTTGGCACTCCAACAGTCTTGGATTATCCCCTGCCCAAGTTGCCTGAAAATGGAACAAAGAGTGTTGTAGCCCAGTGTTCCGCACGTTTCCTCACGATCTGACCACGTAAAGACATCGCCTGCGCTCACCCACCTCCCCCGACAATCGCCCAACACCTTCCCAACGCCAAACCCTGAACATTCCAAAGATTCCAGTTATCTCCTATCATCCCCATTGAGCTGCCGTGGTCAACTTGCGGGTCCTCCAACCCATGCGGGATTAGAGTTTGCTCACCAGCAGGTCGACTCCCACGCCAAAGTGCGTGCGGGATTGGAATCATTCTTCCTGTCCTGGCGCTATCGTTGGTTTTCTCTAGGTGTTGCATTCTGGTTTGGCCTGGATCTGGGCGTGAGTGATTTCCGAGACACTATGTCCCAAGTCCTGGTTAAGTCTTAAGTCCGGTGGGAGGTGGAAAGCTCAGGCTGGAAAGTGGGGCAGAAGTTCACCGCAGAGGACGATCCTGATCGTACATCTCTGCCCTGGGCCGCGCCCAGCTTCATCTCCAGGACGTACAGATACGCGAACATGCGGCGCGTCCACAAAGCGAGATGTCCAGGTAGAAGACTTCTGGACTCTTCATTAATTACTTTCTACTCGTGTATAGCAAAAACTGCACATTCGATCAGTTGATGTTCATCATTCTCATCACTGGCAGGAAACCGCAAACAAATGACACACACACACACATGCACGCCAAAATGTTGCCACTGACACCCATGGAAACCCCAGTTGCAGTGATCTCGCAAGCGAGTGAACACGCAAACACCTGATATTGTATATTGTGCGTTGCAGTGAACCCAAAAATGAGTGAACACGCATTTGCCAACATGATCCTGTTCACGCCCGAAGGAACCCTCGTTTCGGTGACCCCGCGAACGATGCCGTGTTTGGGAATGACATGTTGTCAGAGAGAGCGGTTGAGGACATTGCTGCACTGGTGCACAAAACCTTTGCCGGGCGCAGTGGTCTTGACGCACATGTGTTTCTCTCTTTTTATGTGTTGAGGGTGTGTGTGTGTGTGTTTTTGGGGGGTTGTTAAAAGAAAACCAAGTACGACTGCCCATTCAGGAGGTTCCCGCATTCCGACAAGCCCCCAAAAGATTCCCAGGTGGTTGGCTTTCTTTCGCTTTCTCTTCCCCTGCCCCCCATGTTTGTTTCAACAGGATCCCGGCGAGACAAGAAACGTTTGGTCAAGTTTTATGAAGAAGCCCCGGAAGGCAAAGTAGGAGAAAGTTTGACCCAATAATCTAGAGTGTTTCGGCGACTACAGGTTTGTTTTCCCAAACCTGTTGAAACAACATAGGCGGAAAAAACTAAGTAACAGCTAGCTTGCAATATATATCTATATATATATATATGTTTATATATTTGTGTAAATTGGATAGATTGAATCTCACCCAAGAAGGAAGCAACAACGGAGAAAACGTCAAGCCATTCAGGGGTCGCCCAGCCGCACGGTGGACAACGAGGGGAGAGGGAGAGCAGACAGCTTCCAAGCACCGAGTGGTGAGACCTTTGGAGCATGTAATTCTGGTCGATATTCCTCAAGCGAAGTTGTTTGAGTGAATCTTGGCCCTTGTGTTGCCCTGGCAACCCTGTGCTAGACATATTGCACGCTGTCAACCGTGGATTCTTTAGGGCTGGTGGCTAGCGGAGAGGAGGGGAAGAGGGTAGATGCAAGAATTTGCGAGAAGACGTGTTGCCGATTTCGAGTCAACATGCAAAGTTAAATAGCCCCAAGCACCCATCATGCCAACCCGTGCGCAAACACCGCCTGACATGTTGACAGCCTTTTCACAGTTAGTGTTAGAGCTGCTCCTTTCAACTTTCTTGACTCAGCGATTCAGAACGGACATGACATGACATGACCCAACCAAGATTCATCCACTCCAGCGCCCTCCAACTACTGCCCAGGGGGCAGTAGATAGAAATTTTCCCAAAAAGACCGTAGAAAGAAAAACTGCTGTCAACTATTTCATTTGATAGTCTACCTACTGTTAGGGGTGGCAGCAAGTGCAGCAAGAGCCTCACAGCGTCGTATCATCGCGTGTCACCTGCGTGTCACCCCGCGTTACCTGCGTGTCACCCAAGTGTCGCCCGCGTGTCACTCATGTCACCTGTCGCCCCCGTGTCGTCCCCGTGTCAGTGTGCTAGAGCAACAGTAGATCGCTGCGACCAGCAGTAGTTTTAGCGTGTCGCCCCGTGTCGCCCTCCTTGCGTGTCACCGGGCTTGGGAAGGGGTAGGGATATAAGCTTGCTTTGCACTGTTTGAGAAAGAACGTGAAAACCGTAGGTAGGGGATCTACTGTCTTTGCATTTATTTTTGGAACTACTGCTAAATTGACAAATTGTTGTTCCATATATGCCCAATACGGTACAGGTTGTGCGACTCTGTGTTTTGGCTCAAGTACAAGTCCGCTCCGCAGCGGACCTAGAGCTGAGTAAGTCACTTTTCATGGTAATGGGAACCGGTGAGAATCCAGGCAGACACCGAGAGGCGCAAAAGGCGCAAAGGGCGCGAACCGGACCAGGGAGGTTCCTCCCTGGCGCAAAGCTTCAGCCGGGAAGGGCCCCCGGCAGCCGCAGCGCCAGAAGAAGCCGCAGAGCCACCGGCCGAAGAGAAGGCCGAAGAGGTCCCGCATCACCAAACTGTTCAAGGAGATAGGAGCCGAATCGGACGATTTGCATGGGGAGTATCCCTATCCGGACGAGGTGAGAGAGCAGCATCCGGAGGCCAGCAGCTAGGCCCCGGAGTCCGGACCACCCACCGGCTGGCACAGCCGGAAGGACAAGAGCAAGGTCAAAGGCAAAGGTCAGCCCTCGCAATTGCAACCTTGGAGGGGCAAGAAGACTTACCATGACCGGAGGAGGAGCCAGGCGAGCAGGCAGTTCCGGGCTGTCAAAGGCTTGCTCAAGCAGTCCGCGAAGTTCGGTGAGGCTCCATCCCAGCAGTTGCGTGAGGAGATTGAACGCTTCAGGAGTGAGCGCGGCGTGGAGTTTGTTGAAGAGGAGCAGGTTGAGGAGCAAGAGGAGGCGCCTGCTGAGCCGGCGTCCTGTCAGGCCGAGGAGCCCTAGCCGCTCGCCGCAAAAGAGGCGCAAGGTTTGCCAAGCTCCTCATCTGAGGGGAACAGGACCGGGTTTCCTGTATTGCCGGAGGTGGCCCGTGAGGCACGCTTGAGCGGTGCATCCGCTCATGCAGGAGAGCGCACTGAGGCGAGTGAAGGTTGGGCTGATCCGTTCACAAAACGGACTGGCGTCCAACTATCGCCTCCGCCGGGCAGCTATTGCCCAGGGGAGCAGGGCACGGGTCGGGGGCCAGCGAGGAAACTGCTATCCGGAATCAGGTGCTGCAGAGAGACACAACAGAGGAGGCGACAGAGGAAACAACAGAAAAGAGCTCCGGCCTACTCGCCCGACTGTGAGTTTGAGTCGGAGGAAGACTTCTAAACACAGAGGAGGCAACGCCTTTGCCACTTTCTGTGAAATCAGCCCACGAGTGCTCCACCAGCAAGGAGGAGTGACAGATTGTTGCTCCATATATGCCCAAAACGCATGTACAGGTTGTGCGACTCTGTGGCTCAAATGAGTAAGTCACTTTCATAAATATACGGTAGTTACGACAATAAAACGAAACAGTAGTCGGAGGGTGCTGGCTTATATTTATATATGTATATTTATATTTAAATGCCTGAGTAGCGCACATGCCTTCGCATGACCCTTGGGAGAAGGCTTGCTGGTCACGGTAGTCACGGTGGATTCTTGGATTTTACTTCACAGGTTGGGGGCTGCGTGTCAATGGCGCAATGTCAGCTAGGAAGGATCCGACCTCGCAGAAAACCTGGGCAGAGGAGTGGGCTTGGGGCAATGACTGAAGAAACATGATGAAGTGAGCACGGCACACGCTGCGGTCGCATGTGAAAGTGAACAGTGCGGTGGATGCTATTACGAATGGACTTTTAGAAGAAACTTCCGTGTTTTTGCAGGTCATGCACACACAGATTTGGCCGCAGGCCCAGGCCTTTTGTAGGTCTGGCAGGTGTAGCGCGCTCGCAATGTCAGGTCCCAATTTTTCGGTGGAAGCGCTTTCACACAGATAATGTGGTTGACGGATAAAGAGATATGAATAGGCGAGTAGTTAGATAGATAGCTAGATACCTGAAAACTCTAAATAGCAGATAGTGAGATCAGGTAGATAAATTTAAAGTTAAGAAAAAAGAATGAAAGGTAGATAGAAAGGATGGTAGTAGAAAGAAAGGACATGGATATGTAGATAAAATACATAGGTAGGTAGAGATAGGTAGATCGATTGGTAGGCAGATAAATAGAAACAGAGATCGATGGAAAGATAGAGACAGATGTAGGTAGGTAGTTTGCTGGGTAATTTGCTAGATGGATGGATTTGTAGGTTGCAAGTAAGATGGATAGAAACCTAGGTAGATGGCAAGAAACCAGGAGGTGGTAGACGGATGGATAGATAGATTGAGATAGATACAGTGGGTAGATACAGTAGGTAGATGGATAGATGCAAAGATGGGTCAGAAAGATGGGATAGCGAGATGGACGTAGGGAACAGACAGAGAAAGCGAGATCGACAGGTACATTAAACAAGTCAGAGATAGAGAGATTGCGGGATAGAGAGATAGAGAAACAGAGAAGACACATAGATACATTGACTGACAGACGGATAGAACTGGTTGCTAGATAGATACACGGATAGAAGTACTTCTTCTATGTCTTGTGTTTTTGAAGCTTCCGCAAACCGCCTTCGCCGGCTATATTGGTATGTTTCCTCGTGCAATCTTCTGTCTGCAGTTGTTTTGTCAGCTACGTCACACGCCAAGAGAAATGTGTCATGATTGCCATGGCCGCTTACCGCGGTCATGCTTCTGCCTGTTT